TCTCTCGCACCTTCCTTCCCTCCTTAACTTGATCCTTTCCCTCCTCCTGCTTGCATGCAGTCATCTCTGGCGGAAGCAGTCATTCAGAAGCCCCGGATTGATTGATTGCCTGGGGCTATTCCACAGCTGTAACCAATCAAGCAGGCTTATCTCCACTCTCTGAAAGGAGGATTTACAAGTGCGAGGGCTTCTTGATCAGCCTGTGAATACTGCGAATTGAACATCGGGCCTTTTATAGGAAATGCATATCCTTTATTTTTTCAGCCCCCAGGATTTTCAGTTTTACCCCATTTGGGGTAATTTACCCCTGTTCCCCGACCACTGTCCTAGAGAAACAAGCCTAGCAAACTCTCAGTGCCCTTCCTCGTTAACATGGAGAGAAGAGAGGAATCAATTGGTACTGAGTGTTGCACTTTCATTAACTTATGCATGAAAAGGACAAAATCAAATGATGAAGAATTAGATTAGAAAAAAGAAGTATTTTTCTGGGACACATAAATTTTTATAACTGGCCATGCTAGCTGAGGATGATGGAAGTTGTGTCCAACAGATCTAGAAGGCACTAGCCATTACATTCTCTTCCTCATCAGCAGGTCTCTTAGCTTGGTCCTGGCCTTTCGCATGTAGGTCCTAGTGGCTCTGTCTGCTTCCGCCTCAGTTTTCTTACTCTTGACGTTTTGGTTTACATTCAGCACACATGCTGATATCATGGGACAAGAGAACTTAATCTCGTAGAGTCATCTATTAAATCCCTTATGACAATTGCAGGAAATCACCACATAACCTCTTTGTGAGAGGGATTTTGAAATGGACTGTTGTGCTCTGTTGTTTTAAATGTGTTTTAGTATTGATTTTATTTACCGTTTTTAATATAAATGTTAAATAGTGGGTTCGTGACTCCAAGTTGTAAATCGGCATGCCTTTATTCAGCATTTCTCAGCAACAAGATAAGGCGAAAGATACCAAATGAAACGCACATGCGCATTTATACAACGCTCACCCAAGGAACCGCTTCACTCCCACTAATTACTAACAACCCAACAGCACAGGCCACAACTGCTCCCACAGCTACACTCACTGCATAACAATGATACAGTGGTGCCTCACTTGACAACGTTAATTCATTCCAGCGAAATCGCTGTAGAGCGAAAACGTTGTAAAGCGAAATAAAAAAGCCAATTGAAATGCATTGAAAACCTTTCAATGCATTCCAATGGGCTGAATAACTCACCGTCCAGCGAAGGTCCTCCATAGGGGCAGCCATTTTCGGTGCCTATAGAGCGAGGAATCTGTCCAAAAACACAGCGGGGAGCCATTTTGAGCAGCCGGCAGCCATTTTGAAAACCCGACAATCAGCTGTTTTGATCATCGTAATGCGAAGAATCGGTTCCCGAAGCGCGGAGCTGATCATCGTCAAACGAAAAACCCCCATTAAAACGTAATGCGAAGAATCGGTTCCCGAAGCGTGGAGCTGATCATCGTCAAACGAAAAAACCCCATTAAAACATTATTTTGCGATTGCAATTTATTTTGCGATTGCAATTTCGATCGCAAAAATATCACCGTGAAGCGGATTCGTCATTATACGGGGTAATCGTTAAGTGGGGCACGACTGTACTTGTTTAATTCTTTTTAAATATTTGTACCTTACTGTTTTTAGTTTTTGTATATTGTTCTTTTAATGATATAAGCCACCTTGGGTCCTTTTTAAGGAGAAAGGCGGGACAAAAATATTTTAAATAGCCAATAATACACACACACATCTGTGGTCATAATAAGTTTCAAACACTCTGTAGGGTCATCTAAGGGCACAACTAACCAGTCAAATTATTGTGGGCAAGATCATACTAAACGGGGTCGCTTCAAAGTGCAATTTGATATTTAGCACAATCCTTGCATCCACACGCAAGCAATAGAATGTTTGGGGACAAGAAATCATCGTCGTCATTTAGTCGTTTAGTAGTGTCTGACTCTTTGTGACCCCATGGACCAGAGCACACCAGGCCCTCCTGTCTTCCACTGCCTCCCAGAGTTGTGTCAAATTCATGACACTGTCTAACTATCTCATCCTCTGTTGTCCCCTTCTCCTCTTGCTTCACACTTTCCCAACATCAAGGTCTTTTCCAAGGAGTCTTCTCTTCTCATGAGATGGCCAAAGTACTGGAGCCTCAGCTTCAGGATCTGTCCTTCCAGTGTAC